GCCTGCGGAACCAGGCAGCAGGAATTGCCCAAGGCTGCCCTCTTTCGCCATACCTGTTCATTATCGTGCAGAGCGTGATGTTCTACGACATCGACCGGCGCATTGATGGCCTCCACGCTGACATCCAGGAGCCAGAATGCCTGGTGTGCCGTGACCTCCTTTTACGCAGATGATACCATGCTCTTCAGCAGCGACTCCGGGAAATTACAGACGCTACTCGCCACTGTATCCGAAGAAGGCAATAGGTACGGCCTGGATCTGAACTGGGGCAAGACTGCGTGCATGAACGTGTGCAATGGTGGTGTGATCTTCTCACCCACAGGAGCCCCACTCACAGTGGTGGAACAAGCAGTGTATCTTGGGGGCCTGCTGAACGTGAAGTGCATCGCAAAGCCAGAAGTGACCAGGAGAATCGGTGAAGCCAAAGGCTGTTGTCAGAATGTGTTTAAGTGCTGGTCGCACGACAACATCAGCCGCGCCAGGAACATAGAACTGTACAGAGCTATAGTTTTGCTAAAATTGTTGTATACTTTAGAGACGCTCTGGCTTCTGCAGGCAGACAAAGTCCGTTTTGAACAGCTTCCACGCGCAATGCTTGAGACGAGTTTTAAGAATTCCTAGTGCATATGTTTCACGAGTGTCTAATAAAGAAGTTCTGGAGCGAGCCGGGGAAGACCCTTTGAGCTCCACACTTCGCTGGCGCCAAACAGCGTTGTACAAGAAAATCGCAGCATTGCCCAGGGACAACCCTCTCAGACTTTTCACTTGCCAGCCTGGCACTGACTTGCCCAGAAGATGGGCGCACCGGCGTCGCAGGGGAAGGCCAAAACAGCAGTGGGCCCCTTGCGTGTAGAATCGTCTGCCAACGCATTCGCTTCAAGTTTCCTCCACCTCCTCCTTCCTCCTGCTCCTCTTCCTCCTCCCCCCCCTCGTCCCCTCTGTTCCTCACAGGTGGAGCCGATACGTTTTCATGGAATTTCGTATCGCGCATTGTGCTTCACAATCGTGGGGCGCTCTGCTTTCTCTGCTTCACAGTCGGTCACTTTGTATAACTCTGTTGAATTTCGTGCTTGTCACGCATCCGAAGGGGAGCCAATTGCACACGTTTCTGCCCACACGCCCTTCCAGAAATCCGGCTCAGTGGCGGCAGTGGTGCCCAAGAGCCGTGCCAAGGCTGGTGCATAGCTTCTGCATTGCACTGTACTAACTTTTGTATGCCAATGCGCCGTGCGAGCGCCAGGCTTGACTGACTGACTGACGAATTCAAAGAAGGACTTCACACCCCCAGACTGCAAAAGGGGGAGGTGCCTCGCCAGGACTAAATCATTATCCTGGCGCAGGACCCAATCATATGCAGTTGGAAGTATGGGTATCGCCTTCGGTGGATTCCTGCACGAAGCGTGCAAAGGGTGTGCCGAAATGGAGCGGGGACGCATGCGGGCGCAGCCATTGGCACCTTCGGTGGCGCTCCCTGTGGGGCCGCGAAACGTGTGAGGTGCGTGCCAACTTGGACGGGGGGCGGCATGCGAACCATGCCAATGAGGCCTTCGGTGAAGCTCCCTATGGGGCCACGCGGCGCTGTATTGAGTACGGGAAGCGCATGAATCATGCCACTGAGGCCTTCGGTGGAGCTCACTCTGGGGCCACGGAGCGCTGTACTGGGAGGGGGAAACCCATGCGAGCACCGCCGCTGGGGCCTTCGGTCGAGCTCCCTGTGGGGCCACGAAGCGCTGTACTGAGTGGGAGAGACGCATGTGAACACCTCCACTGGGACCTTCGGTGGAACTCCCCGTAGGGCCACGACGCGCTGTACGAAACGCACGCGAACACCTCCTCTGGGGTTTTCTGTGGAGATCCCTATGAGGCCACGACACGAAGTGTTGTACTGTGTGTGGAACGCATGCGAACAATGCCGCTGGGGCCTTCGGTGGAGCGAGCCTCGTTTGGAGCCGCGACTCGCTATACTGGGTGGGGGAAGCGCGCGCGAACACCTCCTCTGAGGTTTTCTGTGGAGTTCTCTATGGAGCTCCCTGGGTGGGAGGAACGCATGCGAACCATGCTACTGGGGCCGTCGATGGAGCTCCTTGGAGGGCATCGAAGCGTGTGAAGGGTGTACAAAAGTGAACAGGGTGACGGCATGCGAACCATGCCACTGGAGCCTTCGGAGGAGCTCCCTATGGGGCCACGAAGCGTGTGAGGAGTGAGGAGCGTGCCACAATGGAGGGGGGGGGGCGGCGTGCGAACCAGGCCACCAGGGCCTTTAATGGCACTCCCTGTGGGGCCGTGAAACGTGTGAGGCGCGTGCCAAATTAGACGGGGGCGGTATGCGAACCATGCCAACTAGGCGTTCGGTGGACCTCGAGGTGGGGCCACGAAGCGTGTGAGGGTTGTGCAAACGTGGAAGGGGGGTGGCGGCATGCGAACCATGCCATTGGGGCCTTTCGGTAGAGCTCCCAATGAGGCCACGGAACGTGGGGGGTGTGTGCCAAAAAGGAAGGGGCGCCGCATACGAACAATGCCACTGGGGCGTTCTGTGGAGCTCCGTATCGGGCAACGAAACGCGTCAGTGGAGTGTCAAAGTGAAGGGGTGGCGGCATGCGAGCCATGCCACTGGGGCCTTCGGTGGAGCTCCCTATGAGGCCACGAAGCGTGTGAGGGGTGTGCAAAAATGGAAGGGGGGCGGCGTGCGAACCAAGCCGTTGGGGCCTTCGGTGGGGCTCCCTATTGGGCCACGAAGCGTGCGAGGGGCGTGCCAACGTACAGGGGGTGACAGGAGGAGGGAGGAGGGAAATGATGAGGGGAGGAGGAAGGGAGAGGAGTCGGGACGCGGGGGCTGTCTTTTCAAAACGAGGATTCAACACCACGGGATGGTAGGGAACGACGATCTGCAACGATATGCATTTGTGAATGCAGCGTTGCGGGTACAGGTGGGGATCCTCATGGGGCCACGATGCGTGTGAGGGGTATGCCGAGATGGGCGTGGAGACGCACGTGGGCCCTGCCACTGCAGGCGTCGGCGGGGCTCCTTCTGGGGCCACGAAACGTTTGAGAGGTGGGCCGACCTCGTTTTTGAGAATCGCATGCGGCCCCCCCTGCCTGGGGGCGTCGATGAAGCTCCCGATGGTGCCACGAAACGCGTAGGAGGTGAGCCGAACAACGTGGGGAAGTGCGTGCGACCCCCCCCCCCCCCCAATGGCTTCGGTGGAGCTTGTCATGGGGCTCTGGAACGTGTGAAGGGTTTGCCGACACGTGCGGTGAGACCGCGTGCGACCCCCCCCCCCCCGCCCACTTTGGTGGGCGCCTTGTTGAGCCTTGGAGGGTGTGAGGGGCACGCCGAAGTGGCTGGGGGGGGGGGGCGCATGCGAACCCCCCGCCCCTTTGAGCGTTTCGAGGAAGCCCCCTCTGGGGACACACAACGTGTGAGGGGTGTGACGAAATCGCCGGGGGGGCAACATGCACTGCCCCTCCTCCTGGGGGTTTCTGTGGATCTCCCTTTGGGCCCATACACAATGGGAGGGGTGCCGAAATGGTCTGGGGGGCCGCGTGCAATAACCTGGACGAGTCTTCGGTTCGGACCCCCTCTTCAACAGTAGGAATTATTTATCAGTTCGACGCCCTTATTGACGAACTGGGGGAACTGGGGCCCCAACAATAGCGGATAATGGTTAGTTCTCCGCGGCACCCGCCACGCAACAACAACGACGACGACGACGACGACGACGACTACCACGGCTACAAAGTGCAACTGCGACCACGATACGACGATTGCTACGACTACGATTGCGACTGCAACCGCGACTACAAGTACGAGTACAATCGCGACTGCCATTATGAGTGTAAGCGCTACTACAAACACGGGCCCCGACACGACTACAACGACTACCCAAAACCACGACTACTACCACAACCGCCGACTCATCGTGTAGTCCCCGTGAAAGGATGCTCACGCATCTTCTCGCGTGTAGGGTAACCCGCAATGGGTTCCCCCCTCGGAGAACACTCCCTCAACACTACCCAGCCCGCGTTACAATAGTGGGAGCATGGCTTCCACCGCGACGACGACGACGACAACGACTACGACTGCGATAACGACCACGAGGAGGAGCAGGAGGATACCAGGGAGGGGGGGGAACATGACGAGGAGAAGGAGGAAGATCAGGAGGAGGAGGGGGAGGTGGAGGGGAGGAGGAGGAGGAGGAGGAGGAGGAGGAGGAACAGGACGATGATGATGAGGAAACTGATGCTGATTATGATGACAATGCGGAAGAGGTTGACGATGCTGATGATGATGGCGATGACGATGAAGAGGAGGAGCAAGAGGACGAGGGGGAGGAGGAGGAAGAGGAGGAGCAGGAGAAGGAAGAGGAGGTGGAGGAGGAGGGGGAAGTCGAGTTTGTTCCCCGCGGGAAGAAACAGGGGCGGGAGGAGCACAACTGAAGGCACTTCGAGGTTATCCTTTCTCCTGGGGGGGCTCCCTAAGGCCTAATAAGGAGAGGAAAATGAGAGGAGTGACCGAGGAATGACCAAGCGGGACCCTGTCCCGTCACGCGAGCCCCTGGAGCGCAGGAGGAGCACGAGCCTCCGCAGCACCAAGGCGGTGCTGCTCGGGTCGCAAGAGGAACACGAACCTCCGCGCCCACGAACAGCAAGCGGACGCAAGAGGAACACGAACCTCCGCATCCGCGTGAATTCATCGCGATGCTCGGCCGCAAGACGAACACGAGTCTCCGCGACGCCGAGCAGCTAGCAGGCGGAGCGCAGGAGGAACACGAGTCTCCGCACTCAGAGCGTGAATCCACGCGGCCTCAGCGTTCCTTGCGCTGCCGACCTGAACTCACGCACCGACGAGATACCGAAGACGCCGATGCTAGCGGGATAGCGGGCCCCACCGCCTGAGGAGCTGGGAAGAGCGGCGGGACCACCGAAGGGGAGTCGCGGGCCCCCACCGCCTGACCCAGTCCATGACGCTGCCCGGCGAGATGCCGCTGGCGCACTTCCTCCTGGACGTCCAGCCCCGCTGCAACGACGGCTCCAGCCCCTTCGAGATAGGCAGCCTGTGCGAGCTCGAGGTGACGCTTCAACACGACGACCTCGCGACTCTTCTCTAGCAAGACGTCCATGAGGTTGGGCGGCGGCTCCACGACCGCGGCCTCGATCTGCTCCGCGTTGTATTCCAGCGGGGCCGCCACGTCGCACTTGGCCACCACGCCACTCGGCGACACCCCAGCCTCGACCTGCGCGTCCACGATCTTCTTTCCCTTCGACTTCAACTTGTCACCTTGTCCTTCGATTTCTTCTCCTGGCAAACCGTGGAGAAGACAGTGCAAGGCTTACCTACCTCCTTCTCCTCCACGAAGGCCTGCGCAATGTGGATCACCAGGCCTACAGTGGGGTGCCGAATGGTGTGGCGGATCTTGCTGAGCTTGCCAAGCTTGGACGCGAGCTCGGACTTGCCCAACTGCCGCAACTGCTGCTTGGCCTGAGGGGCGGACGGCGTCTCCTCCATCCCTGCCCCCTTTTTCACGCCGTGTAGGCCTCCTCCAGCTTGTCGGGGGCGGAGCCCGTCTCGAACGCCTCGACGTGCGCCGCCGAGATGGCGGACACGCCCTGCAGCGCACCCCGCGCCGCTGCTGCCACCAGGTTGCCCATGGCCTTGGCCGATAAGCCCAACTCCATGCCAGCACGAACCGCTCCGAAGACTGCCTGCGCAACGGGCAGCCGAACGAGCGCCATGCCGAAGAACAGCGGCATATACGGTGAACAGAACCCTGGGGAAGTGCGCACCGCGGCCAGACTCAGAGCCCAATGGCTTGAGCCAAAATGGCTACGGAAGAGGAAAGGAGAGGAGGGGAAGGGAGAGGAGGAGGAGGAGGAAGAGGAGGAGAAGGAGGAGGAAAAGGAGGAGAAGGACTCCTGAGAGGAGAAGGGACGTGACTTTCCCGTCCTGACAGTCCAAGAACGTGCGCTGACAATCCTTACTCGTGCCCTAGGGGCGCCGGCGCCAGGGCGCTGAGACCAAGCAGGGTTACTCGGGGGGCCTCTTGAGGTCAGCTGGGACAACCGCCAGCCAGTGCGCAACCCGAAACCTCACCACCTGCAGCTTCAGACATCCGGCTGCTCCAATATGTTCGATGCGTGGGCCCCAGAGGTCTGGACCACTTCCCTGGGGCCGGCACTTCGTCCTGAATCGTTCTCTGATGGCCCCGAGGCCCGGTGAGGGCCCCCGGCGGCCGAAAACAGCCTAACACCGCCTGCTCCTTGTTTGTTGAGATTCAAGTCTCTGGGGCCGCGCGGGAAGCCGCTCCGCCGAGCTCCGCTCGGCGGGGGGGGGCTCGGAGGGCGGCGGCGATGCCTCTCGACGCCTGGCACCCCGTCTCAGAGGTGTCCGCCCCGGGGGCCTCCCCCCAGGGGGGCCTCAGGAGGTGGCGGCGTGGCAGCACCCAGGAGGGAATATCACCAGGAATCCACAGGAATCCTTGGGAATCCAAGAAGGAACTTCTTAGGAACCACAGCGAATCCAAAAGGATCCCCTGGGAATCCATAGGGGGGATGAGCTCGGCGCGATGACGGGTTGGAGAAGGAGGAGGAGGAGGAGGAGGAGGAGGAGGAGGAGGAGGAGGAGGAGGCTCTCGCTGGTCTTCGTGCTCGGGCCTTGTCGTTGACTCTCGACGATCTTTTCCAGCCTCGGGATGCCTCTCGGCGGCTGCGCCTCGCCGAGGGCGCCTCCGGGTGCGTGCCCGTCCTCGCGCGCCCCCCCGGCCCCGGGGGGCCCAGGAGGTGTCGACGGCCCCACGCCGGGCAGCGCCCCTGGGGAAAGGGGCCCCTGCCATCGGCGGCGCGCCAGGGGGGGGATGAGAAGGAGCGGACCTTCTTAGAGGGCTCGGGAGGCCCGCGGCCTTCTGAGAGGCTCTCTCGGCCTTCTCCGAAGGCGGGGGCGGCCTCCCAAAGTGCCGGAAAGGGTTCTGAGAAGCCCCGCGGCGCTCGGGGAAGGCGCTGCCCCCCCTGGGCGCACCGCCGATGACAGCGCTTCGCCGTCCTCGTCCTCACGCGGGCCCCGGAATCGTCCACAGACGCGGCCCTCGATGCAGAGCCGGTCCTGGGGACAGCCCAGGTGGGTCTCATCGACCCGTCTGTCCGAGGACCCCTCGTCTGCCAGGGGGGGGGGGGGGGGGCAACACCCGCGGCGGCGATGCCTCGCCTGGGCCTGCGCGGCGGGGCGCTGCGCCACGCCCTCTCCATAGGGGCTCACGGGTCGGAGGGACGTCAAGGTGGGGCAGGGGCAGGGGTGGGGGTGGGAGGAACACCGCTCTAAACGGCTCCTGGAAAAAGGAGATGTGATCATCCAGCTGGTCTCGTTCCATAACCCCGCCTTGGGAAAACCTTTCCCTCTACATGGCGTGCGCGGCCGAAAGAAAGCCTCGCAAGGAACCGGCCCTCGAGGCAGGAAAGTATATCCCGAGGCTGGAAGACCTCCTTGAAGCCGACGGAGACGCTCCCCAAACACTTCGAGCCAAAGGAGGCGGGTCTCGCTCCCAGACCCCCGACGTCATGTTTTTGTTGTTACTTTCCCAGCGTCGCACCCCTAGAGGCCTCGACCCATTCCCCTGGACCGTTTCGCCATCCTGAGTCGTTGTTCGACGGTCCGGGGGACTGGTCAGGGCCAGGGTCCGAAAACTAGGACAAACCTCCCGCCATGTTTTTTTCACTACCTGATGGGGTCTCGGTTCGGATGCCCGTCAAATGTACGCTCCGCTGGACTCCCTGGAGGCCCAATGAGTGGCGCGGCTGCGCTATGCTCGGCAGCACCCAGTAGGGGCCCGACCACAAGAAGCCTTCCACAAGAAACCCAACCCTGTGACTCCATGACGTCCATTGATTGTTGGTATGGGAGTGTCACGCTTTCCATAGCAGAACCATTGAAACCCAAGAAACCTGGGGCACCCTGGAGGCAAGCAGGGTGCTTCTTGAAATGGGCCCCCACTGTACTGACGCCCCACGGGCGCAACACCTTGGGTTAAGACCCTCGCCGACTGCACATTTTCCGTGGGCCTATGTTTTTTCGTAAGGCGGGGGAGCGAACTTCGGAACACCTGGGCCTCGGCCGGGCTTCGGAGGCCTACGGGTTTCTCGCAAGGCGGGGGAGCGAATTTCGAGAAACCTGGGCCTCGGTCCCACGCCCGAAGCCAGGTTTCCCAATCACCCTATATATATATATGTATATATATAGGCCTCAGCACCCACCATGAACCCCCCTTTTCTCTTGGAAGATGCCAAGAAAAAAAAAAGGGCGGGTGCGGTTGGAGTTTCGGGTGTCGCGTCGTGTTGTGGAGGGTGGATCTGGAGTACTTGTGTGTGTTGGAGACGGAGGGAGCCTGTTGAGTGTCGGGTGTTGTGTTGGAGAAGGAGGCTGTTGAGTACTGGGTGTTGTGTTGGAGACGGAGGGAGCTGAGTAGAAGGTTATTTTCAAGTTCAGCTTGGGGAGGGAGCCTGTTGAGTATCGGGTGTTGTGTTTGAGAAGGAGGCTGTTGAATACTGGGTGTTGTGTTGGAGACGCAGGGAGTTGAGTAGAAGATTATTTTCAAGTTCAGCTTGGGGAGGGAGCCTGTTGAGTATCGGGTGTTGTGTTGGAGAAGGAAGCTGTTGAGTACTGGGTGTTGTGTTGGAGACGCAGGGAGTTGAGTAGAAGATTATTTTCAAGTTCAGCTTGGGGAGGGAGCCTGTTGAGTATCGGGTGTTGTGTTGGAGAAAGAAGCTGTTGAGTACTGGGTGTTGTGTTGGAGACGCAGGGAGTTGAGTAGAAGGTTATTGTCAAGTTCAGCTTGGGGAGGGAGCCTGTTGAGTATCGGGTGTTGTATTGGAGAAGGAGGCTGTGGAGTACTGGGTGGTGTGGTGGAGACGGAGGGAGTAGAGTAGGAGGTTATGTTCAAGTTCAGCTTGGGGAGGGAGCCTGTTGAGTATCGGGTGTTGTGTTGGAGAAGGAGGCTGTTGAGTACTGGGTGTTGTGTTGGAGACGGAGGGAGTTGAGTAGAAGGTTATTTTCAAGTTCAGCTTGGGGAGGGAGCCTGTTCAGTATCGGGTGTTGTGTTGGAGAAGGATGCTGTTGAGTACTGGAGAAAGTCTTCCAAACAAGAGCGTCAAAATTGAGTCCGAAAATCGTAGGAATCATATATAAATTCATATATAATCATGAGAAAGGGGGGTTCTTGGTGGGTTCAGAGCGCTATATATATATATATATATATATATATATATATATGCACACAAGTGGCGCGTGTGTGCCCAATCCTATAAAACAAACTAAAAGGTCGTTTGGAGCAGGAAGGCACCATGACTGCGGGATCGGAGATGGAGAAGGGGAAGCTGGCGCGGCGCCGCCAAGGCGTACCTAAGAGAAGTGGAAGAGGCAGGAGGTGAACGCAGAAGAATCTAAGATCGAGGAAGAGCCCCCCAAGATGCACCAGTGATGCAAGACGGGCTGGCGGAATGAGCGAAGCGATTAACAAGAGAAGTGTAAGCACGATTCCCACCAGCCGATTTGTTTCACTAGATGTGGAGGGGAAGAGGAGGACGAGAAGAGGAGGAGGAGGAGGAGGATAGCTGCTGGGAGTGAAGTGCAATAGCGGGGTCGCACTTGAGCGCAAGCGGGGTTGCCACACCTTGCGATGTGTGTACCACGGGCCCCCAAGAAGCCTCAGGAGGCCCGACCAGGATGCCGGAAAATATTCCAGGAGGCCCCAGGAGGGGTCGTCTGGGATCGAGGTTGCGAGGATGTCCATGGAGGCCTCAGGAGGCCCGACCAGGAGGCCGCAAGAGGCTCCGCGAGGCCGAAGGAGAGTACGTCTGGGCCGCAAGAGGCTCCAAGAGGCCCGACCAAGAGACCGCAGGCCCAAGGAGGCCCCAGGAGGCCCCAGGAGGTTCCAGGAGGCCCCCAGGAGGCTCCGAGGCGGGGTCTGGGGTACCAGAAGGTACGTCGGGGCTCGATTTTCGGAGGATGTCTCAAGCGAAACCGCCATTCTTTGAGAATCGGCGTCAAAATCATTGAGACGTGTTCTTGAAGGTTTTATGTTCGAATGTTGAATTCCTCATGTGTTTTTTTGGGACCCTGACGTCACGATCTGTATGATGGGTGCCACCGATTTTTAGAATTTAGAGGATGTCCCTAGCAAAACGGCCAGAAAAATCGCGGACGCGGCGCTGCCTTTGATTAATGGCCTCTGACCTCTACTCCCTCGGAGAGGTGCGTATGATTATATATATATATATATGTATACATATGTATACATACATCCATACATATATATATATATATATATATATATATATATATTCCTCTTCCTATATTTTTATAAGCCCGGGCAGGGGGACCCCCCCCCTCCCCAACACCGGACTCCCGGGATCTGGGGCTTTGGGACCCCCCGGTCGGGCCGGCGTCCGAAGCCGCCTGGGAGGCTCCCAAATCGCTCCACAACCATCCGAAAGGGCTTCCAGGCAGTCCAAGAGAGCCCC